AAAAGGCAGGATAAAAATATAATAATAATAATAATAATAATAATAATAATAATAATAATAATAATACAAATTTATTACCTTCTCTTAAATGTTTAATCTTCAGTTTGCCTGGTTCTTGAATCAAAACTGTTGCCACAGCATAAGGATTTGACAAATCAACAGGGAATCTCAAGTTTTTATATTCAATAGCCTATAAAAATAAAACATGTCATGTCAGAATAACTAACGGATGTTATTTCCTTCCTTTATAGCAACAATTTATTTTGTCCATTCTCTACCTGTACTTTCTGTAGCGGCTTGTGTTTTTCTTTCAGTGACATTGTTTTCTGTGGCAGGCATACCACTGCTTTTTCAGCAGACTTTGGTATTCTTTGCAAAACTGACTCTTGGTTCTCAAAGTCTCCTCTTCTGGAATCGGGGAAAAATGTTATAGTACAACAATTTTAGAGGGGGAAAAAAACCACATTAACTTCATGATCTGGGTGACAAAATCCCAGGAGGTAAAAATCTAGGCATCTCCTTGCTCTAGAAATGTAAAGCTCCAGCAAAGAGAGGACTCCTTGGGAAAATTCCATGTCTGTAGCACACAAATAACCCACATCCAGTTACACACCACAGAGAGGGAGGAAAACATGTCCCTTTCCACCAAATGCATTAAGCTGGTTCCTGCTATTTCAAGGAAAGAGAAAGAAAGGAATGTGCCAGAGCTCAGCAACAGTGGATTTGGGGAATAATGGAATGTGGTGGAGGTAAGCAAACCAAAACTGTTCTCCGATTCAGATTTTCATCTGGACCAGAGAAAAATCTGAGACCTTGTAGAGAATGCTTCTCCTTTTGAAACACACTTTATGGTGATTTTTGAAATCTGCTTCTGAGGCCAATTTTGGCAAATTGCTCAGATGGAATGGAATACACTTTCACTTCTCCAGACTCAGTTGCAATTAAAATCTTTGCATGCTATTTATTTTAGACTGGCTTGTTTTGGTCATTACTCCAAAATAGTCTATTCTTTAAACGTCTTCAGGCCAATTTTCTCCCTGGAGCTATATAGGCTTAGATATGATTGAATGTTTCTGGAACTATGTTATCCTGATTGAAATAGTATGACTTGTGGAGTCCTTGGTGCTCTCTGAGCTTGGTTGTTTGCTTGCAGACATTTCATTACCCAA